GTGTGTGTGTGTAGTGTAGTGTGTAGTGTAGTAGTAGTAGTAGTACGTACGTAGTAGTAGTAGTAGTAGTAGTAGTAGTAGTAGTAGTAGTAGTAGTAGTAGTAGTAGTGTGTAGTGTGTGTAGTGTGTGTGTGTGTGTGTGTGTGTGTGTGTGTGTGTGTGTGTGTGTGTGTGTGTGTGTGTGTGTATATGTGTGTGTGTGTATTTCAGGAGGTGGAACTTGATTGAGAAAACAGTTTTAAGTGGTTAAAATAAATAATTGAGTAGATATAAATACAATAGATCTTAATTGAAAATCAATTAATTGCATTCAATTTATAATTAGGCCTTACATTATTTATTTTATTAATTCAACAAATTGCCTTTTGTTCCAACTGACAAATCACAGTTTATATAAATTGTAAAACAATCGCTGCTTGTATCCAACCATTAAAAAAAAGCTAATTTATTTTATACTGGGGACTGGTAAAGATAATCCCAATGATTGATTACGGAAAAGCAATAAAATGTGGTTTTAGCTCAATTTAATTCAGGTCCTTTTCCCCAATAATAAATCACAAACTACATTACAACTTTTGCATAAACATACAACGGGGGTTTCTTACCGCGACTGCCTCGATTTTGTAGTCATCGTCACAGTTGGGTTCTGTGAGGTCGAGCAGAACTGGACAAACTTTGGTCTCCATATCAGCTTTAGAGATGAGGCCCTGCTCCAAAAGAACAAGCAGCGCCGCCTGGCTCGTCTTCCGCACCTAGAAATAGAGGGGGAACGTTAAAAAAACGGTTTTACAACTATTACTGTGAATCAATCTGACAAGTGATGGATTGTTTTTTCTTATTTTAGTAAAGCTGTGAAAAACAGCATACAGAAAATGACAAGCAGTGATTGTTTCCATGGTAAAAAATGAAGTAGAGAAGCAGAACACTTGAAACCTACCTGGTTATTTGGATCCGTGAGGTATCGGTGTACAATGGGCACCAAGTATCTTGAGAACGCTGCTGGGAAGTTGGGTCGACTCTCGTGTAAGAACATGGCGATGTTGGGAACCTGCTCCATTAGTTCAGCTCGCACTGTGGGCTCTGAGTACACACAAAACAAGTATAAGCATAAAGTGCAATAGGGCCACAGGTAACAATTATTTGCTGGATATTTAAACATCAACAAAAAAGTAAATTCCATCATCTTTAGGTCCAATGTAATGTCTTTAAAGGTGTTGTTTTGTCAATCAAAAAGCCAAAGATAACCAGTTTAATACAGTATAAAACAGGAAAGGGAACAGGACATTGTCTGTCATTATTGACTCAACAATTACTTTTAATAAATATACTTACAATTATCAAAATAGTTTTGCGTTTTTCAAAATGCTAATCCGTTTCAACTAATCCTAGCTGTTTTATGTACAAACATGAAATGTGAGCATTGCACGCCAACAAGCATTATGCGCTTGAAACCATGTGAAAATTAAATCCTGGTAGAGTTTAATTGCATTTAAAAAAGAAACATTTAAAAAAGAGAAACTAGTCAAGTATAGATTTATCTGAGTTACTAAATGATGCAAAGAAAAATTCATCTACCTCCATCTTCTGACATTCTGGCAACTGTCTCCATGACACTGATAAAATCATTTTCATTGTCACTGAACTCTCGAAGCACATCAAGCAGGCCGCGAGCCACGATCTGCCTAGAGAGCAACAGGAGCATCAAGTTAGTAGACGGCCAAGTGCTGAATGCACAGTGCATGGCACACTGCACCGACAGAGCTGTCAAGTGCATTACACGGACACACACAAAGACACACACACGGACACACATAGACAAACACACAGACTGGTAAATGACAGCAGGGCTTGAACCCTGCAAAGCCATGCATGAAAAGCATGAAGACAGGAACTAAACACATTTGTGAGGGCACCACAAGGCAGCGTTAAATGCTTGCAGAGGACTTTAAATACACAGAGTACATCTAGAAGGTTTCTATCGCTACATATACAGATAGTATCACATCAAAAATATATACATAAATCACAATGTGTCATCATTCATGACTTTAAACCTACAATAAGCTAGGGCTACTATTGTCAATCTATTGTCATATTCAGACAGAAACCATCCACCCATAGCTCAACATTAAGTCTTTGATGTTGAAGTCTTTTGAATTCCTGCACTATTGAGTCAAGGCAGGTATGTGATAAGTAAATACACAGGCATGCAGGCAGTAGTTCAGGTGACTATTAAAACACACACCTGGGGATGACTTGAGATCAGACTTTATGTTGATTTCTTTTGATACAATATAGCCACTATTCAACACATTTCATACAATAAATAGGATTGAAATAACATTTAATAATGAGATACTTTTGTGCAACCTAAGATAACATTTAATAAAGCCATAAAACCCTTAAATGATTCCCTTACTTCAGTGAAGAATTTAACACAGTCAATCAAACTTTCTTTTAAATCCAAATGTTACAATTTCTTCTTTACACAGTATAGAATACCACCCAAAGAAATCCCCATAACGTCACGTTTCTTCTCAGTTTCCTTGTTCTATTTATGTTTTTATGTTTCATGTGGAACTACTTGAGCAGGTCTCCCTTGAAAAAGAGATCAATGATCTCAACGGGATTCATCTGTATAAATAAAGGTTTGAAATTAAATTAAATGAGTTTCCTGATAGTTTATGAAATTACATGAAAAGCTTTATTGGATATCTGGCATCTTTTCGTCACTTTTTTGACCAGATGTTTCCTAGATACTAAGTCCGACAAGGTCGCAGATGTTTCCTTGTTGCTAATAAACCACTAATACTCAACATTAGAAGGACATGTCGACACAACTGTAGATATCATTGAAAAATCCTTTTTGATTTCTGGAGCTTAACTTCCACACCAAAACAAATTATGTGTTGACTTGCATTAGTAGAAAACGTAGAAAACATGTTTTTTAATTTATATTTACCAATACTGAATAATGCCTAGCAAGTGTTAAAGTTAGACTGTAGAATAAATGACTGAATTGGTATTAGTGTGGACATGGTAAAGGTCAGTAAGGATGCAGTGGCTGGATTGAAGCATGATACTGTTATGCGCAACTATACATTAGATTCTAGTGAGTTCCTCACAACCCCGATTATAATCCCATCTGATAATAAGCATTTTGTTTGTTTGAGTGTTACGAAGTGATCTACACAAACTGAAAAGTGCAACAACAAAAAAAGCTAAATGAGGTCTATAAAAAGGCTTGCGTGCAAAGATGGGTTTGAAGTAATAACATGACCACGGGACTCCACTTACCTGTTAAAGACATTCTCGCTGAAGGCATACTTCTCTAGCCTCCCGAGAGGAGTCAGGTTATCTTGTCCCGCATCGAGGAAGGCTGTGATGCGGATGCCGTCACACTCTGAACCATAGTCATCAAATCCAACTGCGGGATGGAAAGAAAGACAATTTTTATTGTCAAAAACCCTCATCTCTCGAACACAGCTGATGCCTAGAAAATAAAATATTTAAATGAGGGCTAACTGATGCACCACAGTCATCGCAGCGCCACGTTGAAGCAACTGAGTCAGGCTAGATGTCAGAAATTAGGAAACTACAATGGGTAGCAGAAGGCCTCGGGTCTAACTAATGACTCCATTTAATGTTTCAACCAGGGTTTCCTTTAACTGGTTATAACTAGGAAGAATCTGTTGAAGTCGAACACATTTAAACGTAATGTCAGCTTCAGCTAAATTAATGCGCAAATGTATCTTTTTACTGGCAGCACCTGCAGCCCACGTACAATGTAAGACTGTATGCTTTCATTTTGTGATAATTCAATATGTGCTGTGAACGTTCTTTGCTATATAAGGGATAAGTGACAAAGCAACATACAGATGGTACGTTTAAATAAAATGCAAAAATGCTCATTGGCAGTCATTTCATGTATTGGTTAGATTTGAAAAATGTTTAAATAAAGAGGTAATCACCTATTTCAATGTAAAAGGCTAGGTAATACATAGAAAATAGAAGACTGGCCAATTGTACAGTTTTCAAAGTGGGACCATGGCGTGTACAAATCACTTAATGCTAATCTCGTTCCTTATATAGCCAAAAAAAGGGCCTCATTTTTCAATGAAATATATTAATATGCCACAATACCGAAAAGCCTTGATGATATAATTCCTTATATAGCATGCCTATCTATTGAGTGTGACAAATCTTCTTCACTTTGACAGGAAACCATTTTTTTTCCAACAAGAACCATGGTTCCAAACATAAATACACAATGCCTTTGCAGTTGGATCCAAACACAGTTTCATCGCCCACGCTAATGCAGACAACAGGGACTGTCGGGCCTGTATGACGGCTAATAATAGCAAGGCGTAAAAGCCTGAAATACTGTTGACAGCTTTATATTTCGCATGGGTGAATGGGGTGGCCCGGAAAGATGAAACTTCAATACCTCCTTGCTAAAGAGAGGGAGAACAAAGTTCCACATATGCAAGAAATGTTTTATATCAAAATAAGAAAAGTACTCACAGTCATCCAGATCATCGTGGCCATCTTCAAAGTATAAAGATAGACCTGAAAGGATAAGGCAATTAGAGGGGGAAACCATTGGTGGCAAACGTGTCATCAACATACCATCACTACATACACCACCCCCCCTACAAAATGAAAGGAGCTCTGTGTAGTCAGGTTTACAGGCTGACAATTACCAAGAAAGGACAAAGTCTTCTTCAGTAAGATTGACAATAGATCACTCTGCAAAACTGAAACTATGACGTAGTTAGTATAGTCATGAGTATGTGGAAGACATCAAAACAAGCAGCCAAATATAAACCTAATGTTCTTTTAGATCCTAAAAAAACAACTGCAGACCCCCTGGTCAATTAGTTAGAAATTATCAAAAAAGACATGTGTACAGAATGAATGAGATTAGGTTAAGTTGTTGTCACTGGTCATTTTGGTTATGTATTGTGGGCTACTATCAATCTTTAATTTTTAGGATCATCTTATGTCGGTGTGAGGGTACTTTCTGATTGACTATCATCCACAGCAGTGATGCTCAATATAAGGCCAGCAAAGATTGGGTGCTGGTTGGCCTGTCAAAAGTGTTCCCATTCACACTGGGGAATACATTGATTCACTATGGGAACTTGTTGGTACTTTTAATGTTTAATGTAAGGTGACAGATTGCATACAAGTATTGTACCAAGTTCATTTAGTTAAGTCTGTCAAATTAAGAATTTGAAAGAAAGACAAGTTATTTAAACTTTTCTATTGAATTATTATACCAATTGTCTCAATCCCCTTTATAGTTCCCATAACTATTTGGTGAATACAGCAATTAGTACCTCAATTGTTTTAAAAAAACAATAAAAACTATAAACTAGGTAAAATGTATACAGAATAAGAGTATGTGGTTGAAAATGACATATCGAGTGTTATTCCATAGTCATTAAGTCCAATGTCATGTTTCTCCTGATACTACTATACATGCCTCATGTCTCAATTAAACAACCATCGTTTAGTCTGCAACATTTCACAGAGCCAAACATGACGTCTTCATATGTCTTGTTTTGTCAGACGAAATGCCTTAATTTCCAAAAATTGTGTATTTTACAATATGACAAAACAAACGAACAAACAAACAGGACATCATCTCTTTAGAAAGGCTGATATCATGGCTTTACTGCTTGAAAAATGACTGAAAAAGATTAATTGATTATCAAAATACTCGTTTCAACTCTAGTCAAATAACCAACTATTTAGCCGTAATGGCATATATATTATGTTGCCTAAAATACAAAGCAGATTCTCAAAGTTCAACCAGAATCCTTTCTAATCTAGTTTCCGTCCCGGTATCAGCCATTCCAAAGTGTTAAACACAAACTGGACATGTTAGAGGATAGCTTCAATGTGTTAACAGATGTGTTAGTGTGATAACGTTACAGGCCAACATTTCTAGCAGGCTTTCCATCCTGGTTGAATTTAACACAACACAGTTTATAGGACAATAAGTCCGAGTAGGGTATTCAAAAGAGGAGCCCAGAAAGAAGTCCCATAATGAGACGCATGTGCTGGGACAGCTAACGCCAGTGTTTACAGCTGGGCATGCAGGGGAATGTGCTCCAAATATAAAAACAACAACTATCTCGAAAATACATATCAAACGTGTTTTTAGGAGTAAATAGCGCTACGTGTGCATTAACAACACCCCCAAAACATGTTGGCAAACAACAACATCTCCCCTTTGTTATGGTATAAAATGAGGATTTGGTCAGCTTATGGCTGAAAATGACTTTAGCAACTCGGCTAGCGGTGGCTAGGTCAACTCGTTAGCCTTTGCTATGACAACAGTTCGATAATAAATACGGCTGAAAGCATGCGGTACTGTTTAATTACAAAATAGAGTGGTAGTTAGTAAAATAATAAACATATACGGAGTAGTTGAATGGTCAAATGAAGCCTTATAGTCTCACATTTCGATACCCATGAGTAGCTTTCGTTAGCTAGCTGGCTAGCAGTGCTAAGTTTGCTAACAAGGCTTGTCCAGCGCTTTCGCTTGACTTGACTCGCCTTTACTAACACTGTGCCTGTGAAAACCACACATGCAGTAATGTGGGAGAGGCTATTTAAAAAATATATAATCCAAAGACCACAATGCAGCTGTGTAAATTCCAGCACAGTGTGAAATTATTATAGAAAACACTGTTTGAAAAGTGCCATCATTACCTGCCATCTTGAGTCTCGGCTCGGCTCTGCGGCTGCCGTCCCGTGTGGGCTGTCACCGCCGCACAGCTGTCACTCAAACACGAGAACAAACTACTTCCTGAAGGACGCTACTTCCTGATGCTCCCTGGGATTGACCCGTAATTTATCTTGTCAATAAACAACCCAAAACGATAACCTTTCCTTAACTCGGGCAAAAACTCGCCATAACTAAAAATCCGCCTGTGCGCTTTGTGTGTTTTTCTCCAAACAAAAAAGAGCCGGAACAGTCACGTGACCGCCCTACGTAGTTCAAGATGGAGACTGAGCTTCAGTTAGCTAGTTTACTATAATCATCACAACATGGCAAAAACGACGGATTAATGAACGTTTCAACGCTAACAGCAAGAGTTTTAACTTAATATGAGATGCGCATTTGGCAGCTTTCTACCGCGACGAAGTGAAATTATTTGTAAACACACAACACGTGAAGATTTTTCTAAATAAAGAAAAATAAAGCAGAGGGGGAAACTGCCAATGGTCGTTGTTAGAACCACATTTTGAGGTAGAGGAGATCGATATGGCGCTAAGAGAGTTAAAAGTCTGTCTTCTGGGGGTAAGTCAGCATCGATATTGATGTAAACACGTTATGTTATTCATCTCAGTGTACCTGTGTCATCAAATGATCCATACTGCTCCTCATCATTTTACCATACAGTCACTTTACCTGTAAAGTCTATAGACTACTTACTTTTTTAACAACTGTTTACAGCTTTAAGTATTTTTGTAGTATTGATTATTCATATAATCACTTTACATTCTTGTGTACATCTGTGTTGCCTTACATTGGTTAATAATGTATCTTCTTCTTCTTCTTCTTCTTCTTCTTCTTCTTCTTCTTCTTCTTCTTCTTATTATTAACTACATTCCTGTTTACATCTCTATTGCTTTAATTAATTATCATCATACATACATATTTACTACATCCTTGTTTATATTTATTTTATTTGCAATACTGTCTACCACTCATTTGTTTACTTCATATTATATTTTAGCGCTTTGTTATATTCTTACTTTGCTTTAGGATTTTATGACCTTTAAAAAAAGACATATCTATTCAAAATTGTTTTGCTTCTCTATAATATGTGTGCTTATAATAACACACAATCTGAAATCTTGGCTGTAATTATGTACGGTAGACAGATGAGCAGACGGGACTCAGTGTCAAATAATGGTACTGTCTTTTCCTGGACTTTAATTTCAAATCAGCAAAAGGTACAATGTTAATTCATGTCTAAACTGAATATGACATCAGCATAAACTAATATTTTTGCTAACAGAATCCCATTAATACATCAACCTGAAAAAAACATCACATCTCCTTTTAGCTATGACCTACTAATTTGAAATAATAATTTACTGGATTATTAGAAAATAGTCAGACACAAAATTGATTAAATGTTTTTGGTTTCATTTTTTGGATATGAGATTTTTATAACTGCACATTTAGTGTCTTTAGGTTTTAGACTGCTTGTCAGAAAAAAAGTTCTACTTGTATGCAGGGAAAGTTGTGATTTGAATTTTGACATTTTATAGATAAAGGGATTAATTGATTATTCAAACAAATGAAACATAGATTAATACATGAAAATAAGCATTAGTTGCAGCCCAAATCCTTAACATTCATCCCTATATTGCATACAACAGAAGCATAATTATCATAAGAGCCTCCAAATAATAGACTCCTGAAGTAACATCCTCACACAGTAACAGGCCTCTAGTGGTAACAGGAAGAATGAAGATGCCATGAAAAAGCAATAATGTCTGGGCGTATTGCCCGAGAATATGTTTTTATACTTATGATTAAACTTCTAGTAATTGTTTCCGACTGTGTTTAGTAAACATTGTCTTATTTTGTCTCTGCAGGACACCGGCGTTGGGAAGTCGAGTATTGTTTGGAGATTTGTGGAAGACAGCTTTGACCCAAACATCAACCCAACAATTGGGTAAATTCATGCTGACGTTTATAATGTGTTTCCTCGGCTTCATGGTTTGTGTGTAGAGACTGAGACGCACAGAACATTATCAATAATTCAGTTATTATCTCTCTATTTATAGATTATTTAAATCCAATTTGAACTAGAAAGATCAGAAAATGTATCAGATTGAAATTTCTTTTCCGGAAAAAATATGTTCACATGTTGGGAGTTTTGGGTTTTAGGCAGTTAGTCCAAAAAAGAAGCAGATGAATACATCATGTAAGGCTTTAGGAAATTGTTATGGCTGTTCATTTAATTTTTCTTTATTCATTTCTTTAGTCTTTTCTGAAATTAGACCAAAGAAAATGTATTATTTAAGAAAAATAATTGTCAGATTATAAACAATGAATACAAATGCCAGAACTCCGATAATCCCTAATTGTATTGATTAAAAAAAGTGTATGTTTATTATTGTTACTTTTTATTTGTTCGAATAAGTGTGATAAACGTTTATACAGAGTCAAAATAAAAACAACACAAATCAAAAAGGCATCTTTCAAAAGTAATTCAGAAATAATATTTGTAAACAGCTAAATCATATGAATGTTTTTTTTGTTAAATGACATAGAACATCAATAATGAAGCCCCTTTCTTTCCACCAGGGCATCCTTCATGACCAAGACAGTGCAATACCAAAACGAGCTGCACAAGTTCCTGATCTGGGACACGGCAGGACAGGAGCGGGTCAGTAATGTTCACTGAGGTTTTGTCTTCAGCAGTATTTGTTGTAATAGACTGGTGGATAGCCCACAATTCAAATGATGTGGTTCGGCAGCCAAATCACAGCAGCTCACAGTTATGATAATGTAAAGTTGGCATATTTAAAAATCCACCCATTACTCTTATGTGTCTTTTAGGAACTGAGAAAGCTATCTACACAAGTGTATGCACCACTTCCTAAGAATAGTGAAAAGTGCAGTTATTCATTATATCTGATAGGGGGCAACATTTACCTTCCTAAATGTAGAGGTCTTCTTTCTTACTTGTAGTGCTCTTGGTTTAGGAGCCCCCCTTTTGTGTGACTATTGTGGAGTAATTAATTCAAAACATTTTAGATCACTGACTGGCGTCTGTTCGGTTAATTAAAAACACCTTTAACCTACAAGATAATATGCATCTCACTCCTTCTTCCTCATTGCAGTCATACATTTAGAGACACAAATCAACGAGTTCCCCGTTGCTTTATGTGCTTTTTATGTTACTCTATCTTGCATGCACTTCTGAAACTGGTCGTTGTCAGTAACCAACAGTGCCATGCCATGTAATCTACACTCCTCTACAGCAGCAATATTTGAGATGCCTCATCGCCCACACACAGTTTAAGACTGAACCACTGGCATATGACATGTGATATATAGGGAGAGGATACATCTTGGTGTCTTAGTACAGCTTTAGCATTTAAGCATGCCCTGACACCAAGCCTCAGACGGTTATAGTGTAAGGAAATACTTTCTCTTTTGACTCACACCCTGCATCCTACATTTCTCTGCCTTAACTCTGCACATAACTTCCCCTTTTATTCTGTGGATGCCCTTCTCTTTTTCTCATGCATTTTCATTCCCTGTTGCTGTAATTTCTTATCCCTGCTTCAGTCCTCTCCAGAGAGGTGAGATAAGATGCTGTTTGTCTTTTATCCTCCTTTTTCCCCCGGGGACCTCGGCTTCTTCCCGGCCTTGAGGGGACTTCAATGCAGCCTCGTTTGAGATAAGATGAGAGGTTGAAACCCAAGTTGTCTCAGCCCACTGGCGGCTGCTGCCACTGTGTCTTATCTTATCTGCAACCCCTTTTTTCCCCTTTATGTTTTCTCATGTCTTTTCATTTACTTTCCTGGTAACAATCAATTTGTCAGTGATTTCTTTTTAGCTCTTTCCATTTTCTCCACTTATTTAATTCCACAAATTCCCTTTTTTTCACTACTATGTGGCAACTCAGATTCCCAAGGGGCTCACATCTGTGTGTGAAAAAGAAGCAACATTCCTCCAGTAGGTTTTTTTTGCATGTGTGTGTGTTTCCCATACAAAGCTACTGGGGAATTTTTAAGCCTTATGTGACTTGTTTTCTAACTCCTGTGGAGCTTTGGCCTATCTAAGTGTGTTGAGTTGAGAAAGGGGAACACAAAGCCAGCCAATGCACATGGAATGAGAGAACAGAGCGAAAAGGAAGGCTCTGTGATTTCTACAATTCATATCTCGACACCAGATGAGGCCTCACGAGTACATCTGAGCCCAGCTGTCAACAGTTCGTCGAGTCCTCCCCCTCTGACTGCTCCTTCGCACAGAAAACAAGCAAAGGAGGTTTTAAATCCTACTGGTATAGCAGGCTTTCTTTCATTAAGCACCCAGTTAGTGATTTCGGCAATTAATCTGCTCCGCCAGGCATCACTGAGGTCGTTCTCTGGGTCGCTGTGTGGCCAGACGTCTGGCCTCGCTGTGATTGCTTTTTGGGTTAAGGCAGAGAGAGACCACACAGGACTGGTGGTGGGGCAGCCCAACACCAGCCAATAAACAGACAGCACTCTCCCCAGTGTCTCTGCCAAATATCTCAAGTTGGATTCCCGTTGGTGGACTTGGGTCCAGCAACAACTATAATTATGTGGAATGTGTGCTTTCCTGAGGTAACACTCCAAGATAGATAGTTTATTCCATCGTATTGCAAAAGGAAAATGAAATTGGCGGGAAGGCAGGGTTCATTCCAAGTGAAGGTATTTTTCAGACAATAAATACCATGATACATGGGTTTATTAGTTAGAGGAGAGGGAAATAATACCATATCTTGAAATATATGGTAAGTTAAGCAAATACATATTTTGAAACAGCTAATACTTCAAAAACCTGTAGAGGCCATTGCTAGCATTTTAAGCTAAATGTCCATGTTTGTGACAGTGGATCCTAGTCCACTTTTTTTCAAGTTGACTTCAGTTAGGAGAAACTACAGATCACAACGCAACTGCTGTTTTCTCGCTTCTATGTTCTCCATTCATTGGATGGTCTGATAATATTCGTTTGTCTTGGAAATGGCGGGAAAAGTGATTGGATTTGAGTTGCACTGACATTTGCGGGCTCATCAAATCGCTGTTGACCACATCTTAAACTGAAAGATGGATGAAATAGCAGACAAGATATATGTCCATGCCAGTGTAGCCTGGTGTAAGCATGCTAATATTTACTATTAGCACCAAAAAGTACAGCTAAGGCTAATGGGAAGGCTTCGCAGGGAATAACTAACGTTGTTATATTTTCATCCTGAAGGGGATATGACTGTCTGAGCTATTATATAACAACATATGACAATATGTCTAATAGTTGTTGAACAAAAATGTGAACCTGATGTTGGGGTTAGAGGAACAAAAGTTGGGATCAAATCCGATCCAGCCAGTAAGTGTCATCCTCAAACCAATATACTGTATCATATTTCTTGGCTTTTGAATAGTTGTTCAGCTCATTGTTAATTCCAGGTTTCAATGATCATTGAAAAGTGTTTTACCAGGAAAATAACAAAACCTGGCTAGAAGAAAAACAAAAAAAACTCTTGGCAGCTATGAATTTATAAAATGCACATGTTGTTTGGATTATGTGGGTCTTTTGATGTAGATCAAACATAAAGGCCTCCATAAATATCAAAATGCTAAAAGTTTATTTTTGACACATTCTGCTCATCTTTTACTTGATGGCTTCCACATGTGTGAGGTCTTGGTGGAAAGACTTCCCATACTTCCATTTTATATAAAGCTTCTTGGCTAATAGGCTCCGAACACTTGGCCTCTGGTATAGAAAATGGCTCTGTGTCTTTTTTTCTCATTTGTATACCAATATAATTGAGTCAAATAAAACTCCCGTGCCTATGTGACAGATTAGCCACAGTCTATGAAAAGCCAAGACACGGTTTATTGATATACAGGATGTGAAACTATATAACTGTACAATTAAACGGCAATTATGTTTGTAGTGCCCTATGCATATACAAAGATGAGAAATCGGAGGAAAATCTGTTAAACCTCAGACTTTAAAGATAATTCTACTTTATGAATGTTGTTGCATAAGGTAATTTGATCATCTTTTTGATATCGTTTTAAATCAATATTTAGATATGAACCTCCTCCCTGCTCATCATTACTCATTGCTTTTGTTTCTCTTTCTACTTACAGTTTCGTGCCCTGGCACCAATGTACTACAGAGGGTCTGCGGCAGCCATCATTGTTTATGACATCACAAAAGAGGTATTAGTTTTGTTTTTTAAAAACTCAACAGCAACGTCTGGTTGTCGACAATGAACTGGTGACTCAAGATTATCCAGAGACCTTGGTATGAGAAGTTTCATGAAGGAAACATTTTCTTTATATCGTTTCACCGCCTATAAGGAAGCTTGCATTTACTCCTGGACGAGACACTCAGGCTCTTAACAGCGCAGGATGTAAACAATAATGGGTCTTCCTCGGCTAAGCTTTAACCTAAGCTAGTTTCAGTTTAGATCAGTAGAGCTTCTCTTTATTTAGAAGATGTTATTCGATTAGATTCGAGAGGAGTCTCTTCGACTGAAAACACTTGAAAACTCACACCAAAACAATTTGATTGATAAAGCACTACAGGTAAGAGGAACAAGATGAGATAAGATAAACTGGCCCTTTATTAATGCCTGTGGGGAATGTCAGAAGATTTTTTTTATATCGACTTCGGTTCGTTTTCGTTTTCGTCTCCGTTTCGTTTCCGTGTGGACCAAAGTATATTTGGATACTAATACTTTTCTAGTGTTACTTGAGTAACATTTTGAATGCAGGACTTTTACTTTTAACTGAGTATTCTACTCTGGTATTTCTGGGCCTACTCAAGGTAACTGTGTTGTTATTTATGCTGTTGATTAAAAACAGTTAAAGCAATGATTACATAAAAAGTGTGGTCTGTGAGCTTTTTAACAGCAAACGTAAGTCCTTCTCTCAGGCCCCGTCCACACGGAGACGAAAACGAACCGAAATCGATATCAAAAAAGTCTTCCGTCCTAAGCAGCAACAGAGTGAGAGCGAAAATCCGGACAGTACAGATTCACACAAGAATAATAAGATTAAAGATACAATAAAATGATATACAGGTATTAACTGTTAAAACAAGAAATGAATTAAATGAACATATACACATATTTGAGTCCGGATTGTTAAATATATAATATATTGTTTATCAACAGGAATCCTTCACAACACTAAAGAACTGGGTGAAGGAGCTGCGCCAGCATGGACCTCCCAATATAGTGGTCGCCATTGCTGGCAACAAATGTGACCTGTCAGACGCCAGGTGAGCCGGAGTTAGAGAAAATACTACATGTTTTTATCATGAATGTGAAGTATGATGAGACTTTCTCATATACAGCGAGAGTGACAATGGGACTTTAGATGTCTTGCTACGATAAGAAGAATTATTCGAAGGATATTTTAGGAACTTTAGGAATATCTAATGCCTAATATCTAATGTTTAGCTTAATAATGTTATTGAAATTCAGTGTGTGGAGCTACAGCGAATTAGTCTCTGCAAGCAGAACAAAGCGCTTGCCATAGACAGTTTAGAAAAAACAAAAACTGACTGAATACACTCTCAGCTCTATTGTTTTTTTTGTTGTTCACCACCTTCATACTTAATATTTCAAGATTGTATTGTTGTTATTCTGTATCTACCACAACATGGAAAACTGGCACTGCTTTTGGGAATATCTTCCATGAAATTGGGAAATCTTTCACATGATAAGCTGTGAAAGTACATTTTGAAGTTTATCTGGAAATGCATGAAAATTGATTATCTGTTCGCATGTTGCAACAAAATGATTTCCAAATACCTCTTTTATTTACAGGGAAGTGCTAGAGAAGGATGCCAAGGACTACGCTGACTCTATCCATGCCATCTTTGTAGAAACCAGTGCCAAGAATGCCATTAACATCAACGAGGTGTTTATAGAGATAAGTGAGTGTGTTTCTTCTTGTACAACCCCGGGTTCAAATTGAAACGTGACAAATTAAGCTTTGTCACATTAAGATAATTATCTTGTCTCTCTTTGTCTTTTAAAACAGGTAGTTTTGCAGTATTTTTTGAACAATATTGCTAAGGAATGGTTTATAAATATTTCAAGGGAGTCATCATTCTTTTCTGTGTTTGCATCAGACTTCAGCGATGGGCTGGATAGTAAAAAGCAGCAGATAATGCCAAAGCACAATCCGCTTAATCATGGCATCCTGACATTTTTGTTTTAAAACACACATTTGCAGAGATGGGAGCAGTCGATTCGACAACTGATAAGCATTAAAGAAATACACAAGCTGTGCCCTAATTCCATACTACATAATACATCTAAGCAGTTTTTGCATAGGCAGTGTGTTCATATGGGAAACATAGACAAATGCATCATACTGAAGTGTTTCTGTGTACTAAAAACTTGATAGACAAACATGTGTTGTATGATATATTCAGGATTATTACGTCATTGGGAAACTGCTTGTTTCAGATTGTCCTATATTCTAGTTTTCATAGTGGACTGGTTTGGCTCTTATGTATTCAAGAAGTTAACGTAAAAAAACTGCGACTTCGAAATATAATATGAAATTAAAGCTCACAAAGATAAAGTTAAATTATTTTCTAAATATTCATAACTTATATTTTCAGTGAATAGTGTTTCTTTTTATTTATGTATCATCAACCCAATCAAGAAAGGGTTTGTATTGCATGCATACTGGCCAATGTTTCAGTGTTAAAACATTCAAAAATGGCTTAGAATTAGTGAGCTTTAGCTGAATGAGTCACAGTATGAACTACTGCACTATGAAGAATGGTGTACATTATTTGTGTTTTTAACATTATATTTTTATTGGGGGTTTTTTAACATCGAAAAAACATACAGTCACATATACATTAACACATTAACAGAAACATTTTGTACATTTAAAATAGATGTGAAAAATTGAAGTTTCACAACTAAGAAAGTTTGTTTTGTTTTCTCAAAGGTAAGCGCATCCCCCTTGCTGAATCAGCAGGAGGCACTTCAGGAAAAGCTTTCAAACTGGGACGTCAGGCCTCAGAGTCTCGCAGGACGTGTTGCTGATGATGCCGGTGACTGTCCCTACATGACCTTTGACCTGACCTTTGCTCTCTCTGTGTCCCCAGCATGCTTCAGCGTACAGCCACCACACACTCAAACACCCCTCATGCCTGATATGGGCCTATAGCATTACCACTTTAATGACAAAAGCAAATAAACCAGTAAACAACAAAAAACGACAAAATATATACCGCTAAAGATTGCTGGCAGGAGAAATATTTCAAGTTTGCATTGATACATTGATATGCAAATGAAAGAACATTTAAAGACTTCTAAAATGGATATCAACCTCGGTTTGGTTTATTATAGCCCCGGGTTGATAAGAGGTAGTAAACATCTACAGATTCATGAATTCAGAGATCATTTGTACATCTTGTAAATTTTTCAAAAACCTTTTATCTTTCAACCAAAACATAGACTCACAACTTTACATTTCACCAAATTATTTTAATATCACTGAAGTTATTGCCTTTTTTTTGGGATGTCTCTCCCAAAAAATTCTTAACTTTGTGAAGGATCCATCTTTATAGTTAACATGTGTTATCAATAATTTATCAAAACAGTTTGGAGAAAAAGTTATGCTAGTCATACGTTCTTTATACTAGCCTTTAATCATAGGTTTTTCAAAAGATATTTAGATTGATCTTGGTGATTTAAGTAGGACAGCTTTTGCACGCTAAATATCGATTTTATTGTGAGTGCTGTTTTAATCAAGATGTCCTTCAAGGCCAAATACCTAATGGGCGCTCTGATGTACAATATAGAAATACAAGGATTGTGGGAGCCTAATGTCTTTATATAGAAGGAATAGTTTGCCATTTTGGGAAATGTGTTTTTTGTCCTTGCCTTGGGTGAGATGAGAATTTAAATTCATTCTCATTTAAGTACTAAATAGCAGCTTAGCGTAGCTTGGCATAAAGACAGGGAGGAAACGGCTAGCCTGGCTCCGTCCAAAGGCAGCGAAATCTGTCAACCAGCCCCTCTAAAGCTCACTAATAACTACGTTGTATCTGACAGAGCCAGGTGTTTACCCTCCTGCTTTGTATTGTTCTGCTTGTCTAACACTCAGACAGAAAGGCAAAAGGCGTATCCCCCAAAACCAACTATTTCTTTTTTAATTGTGGACTTTGTTGTTTGAGCTGAGTCTGTCGCACTCGCAGTCTTCAAGAGTTCCAGCTGCTCACTGGTTCCCCACATATCAACTTGTAATTACTTAAAAGGTGATAACTGAATCCTGTATATGCAGTTTCCTGTCGTGCACACAGTGTTGTTGTTTCACAATATCACTTTAGCTTTGTTTAAACTGGCGAGCATGCTTGTCCTCAATCCTTTGCTGCTACTTCTCAACAGTTTTACAGATTTCTGTGAGGTCTTGCCAAATTCTGTAATTGACCCATAAACATTTTATCTTTCTTTTTTTTATGCACGTAATCAGCAGAGGCTCGTGCATGCAGTATTGTTTTACTACCTGGCCTGCGATGAAAACATTGAGGTTGGAGAGCTATAGCTCGTTTAGAGGAAACTCCGATTTCTGAGCTTAAATCTCCCCTCAGTGAGGTTGTAGGTGCAGAATCAGACGGGGCACTGTGTCAACATGCTGACCCCTTAATGAACCTCTTTCTCCATGCTGCTCTGAATTACTGTATGCGCTTTGTTCCAAGGTCTTTCTTCTGATTTACATTTCTACCATCATCTTTTACTTTCTTCCTCTAAATTCCAGGCACTTATTGTAGGTCCAGTTTTCGTTTTGTTTCAAACAGATGTGGTACACTATAGCTTTCACAGAGCTCTATTATCCCAATACTCTAAGATCCTTAATGCTATGTTACAGAGGTTTAACTCCTATTTTGGCCTAATTGAACTTCAGTTAAATCATGAGCCCCCACAGACTTATTCATTCTGTCTAATTTCATGCTTGTCTGTATCTCTTGAACCCCAAAACCTCTTTCTAAAGTTGCCAACAAAAAACAGATGTGGGCTTAATTAGCCTTCCCACATTTATACATTTGGATTGTGTTCTCTTCTGTCAGCGCAATCCTTCTTTTTTGTTGCCTTTACGCATGTTAAATGTAGTTGTTATTGATGAGTTGTGCGCTAAGCAGTACTGCCTATTTTCTTAAGGATTTTCCCATGGAGTGCAATAGTTGTTATGATGACAAGGTAAAATGTGATCTAATCCAAGGAAATAAAACATTAACAGATTGATGATGTTCATACCGCAGAGCAGAACATGTGATCTCATTCCAGCAGTGTAGAACAGATGATAATGACAGGTTTCAATTGACCTCTTTGAAATGAGCAGTGTGATGTTTTAAAACCAGAGTGGCATTCTGGGTCAAAACTTACATTTAAAGGGAATGACTCTGGTGCTTTGAAAGCTGCACTTTGACTGACTTATTAATTTGCCGTGTTACTTACTATCAATCAGTCTTCTGTTTTTTATTTGTGTGAAAACTCTTGAAGAAACGTTTTTTAACAATGTCCGACTTCTTAATGATCTCAATGTTGTTTTAGGTTTTGACTGTTTGCACAGTTCTTATTTCTAACAAGAACACGGTGCCAAATATGTTCTGCATAATTATGCATACTTATCCTTTTTTTAAACTGTCAATGTAATATAATGATTTAAAGTGCTTAACATACATGCTTAAAATATTTGAAGTTTCATAATGACATATGTTTCTCCATGTAAACAGGAGGCATGGATATGAAATGTGTGCTAGTTTTGCATTGAAAAATACCAATTGTCTTGGGCTGGCCCTGGGAATGTCATTATTCTGTATTATGTATATTTTTCAGTGTAGAAATATTCCATCTCATTGCACATAAATCAACGTCTTTATTCTAAGCCACTTGTGTGACCACAATATACTTTGTTTCTAGTCATTCTGTCAGCATTGTAGTTACCATATTTAGCGTTTGACTATGTTCCATATTGATTGTAACAAAATGCCTGAAAACACTTGTTTGCAGTGTATTTCCAAATCTGTAAAAAGGGAATTGTCAATTTGTTTACTAATAAAAGATTGACAAAAATGTCTTGTGTGAATTTCCTACATGTTTCTCACTCCCTGGTGTTGGGCCCAATAGAGATGTCTGCATTAAGTTGTTCCTCTGGGATACAGTGACAATGTTGTTAGTGATTGGTGGTGTTGTTCAGTCGGCAGACAGACGCCTGGCTATAAATATAAATATGACACTTGAGATGCGTGTTGGACTGGCAGAGGGCTTTTCACTGCACTTTGAATAGTGCTGACTGGGCAGAACACAACCTCCCATTCCCCCACGTAACCCCACTTTCTGTATAAAGCATGTTAGAAAAGTATGGCTATAAACTACAACTGTCACAATTAAGGGCTCACCAGGTATCACTACTATAATCAACCATTACATGGCAGATTGGAAATAACATTGGAGCTTGATAGGTGACAAATAAATTGGTTAATTAAATTAATTAAAATTAAACTGATCCTCTGGCGTACAGATGAGCTGCTATCCAGGACAACATGGGAGTGTTTCACAATGTCAGATTTTTACTGTCAGGTGTTTTAACCTCTCAGGTCTAAATAATAACATGTGCTCTTGCAAGCTGGTTCATTGATCCACTTAATTTGACTTATAACTACTAACCATGTTTTTGTTCTGCAATAAAAATACAGAAAATGTAATTGATAAAAAAATTCATTATGCAACTTTATAGCCCATTGCAATGTAATCAAGGTGTTTTTTTTCTTTTGTTGAGACAAATACAAAATTGTCGTACCATCAAATAATTATTAATTCCGTAAATATAGTGTGGTGGTCTTTATCTTATATGAAAAATCAAAAACTGAGTCAAGGTTGTTTTTTACTTTAAGAAAACCAAGATGCTAGGAATTTATTAATGTAAAATATTATAGAAAATTGCACTAAAAGATTTGAAATATGTTTAAAAAGTCATATTTATCTTTGAGGCTGCCAAAAAATGACCTATTGAAAATGAAAACAAAATGTTTTTTCAAATGCAATGTGCTTTATAAAAAGTAGGAATACATTTGAAAGAAACCTTATTTTGTTATTAGTTCAGAGCCAAGTCTTTTTCCATGCCAAGTTATCTACAAAATGTTTTCATTATGAGATTACATGCAGTATCGTCATAACATTTGGAAGAAAAATGTCTTGTGAATATATTGTTACCATGGGGATATGAAGAAAAACAAAAGTGTGCATTGGAGGAAGAGATGGTAACTGATGATCTGACATGTTTTACATGATGCGACACAATGATATGAAATTACTTTATTATCAGATTAAGTCTGCCATTTTTCCTGCATCTCAGCAGCTCCATTTGCAACATCAACAAGGACAAATACTGACACAAGGAAACAGACATTAAAGTCACTGAAGACAACGTGAAGGCTCAAGACGTATATTTTACCTGGAATTTAACTGTTGATCATTTTAGGATTGACAGGTGCATAAAAGAGTGCTTGTGGAACCATGTATCTCCGATTTGATGGTTAAAATTCATATTCACTGTTCAAAGACGGTTGGGATCAGTAAATTATGATGCAATAGATTAAGAGACCCAATAATATATAAAGTTGCTGAAAGTAAGCCAGCTATTCCACTTGCAACATTAAAGTTCGACACAGGATTGCATCAATCATAATTTAGGATTATTGATTCGGAAATGCTACATTCTGCATAAGGATTTTACTTACTATTAACACTTTAATTCATTTTAGAATCTGGCAATACAAAAATTCTCCTTCATTATCTGTACCTTAAAGTAATGAACATTAGAGGAGCATTAATTATTCAGTGATATAACATTATTATTATTATTATTATTATTATAATTATGAAGAAATTGGCCATTGTACAGAATGCAACCCAGTATCACGGCAAGACGTGAACAGGTGACGATTTACCATGCTGGGAGACGTGAAGATGTCACGATGTCGTCCCTTCCAGAGCCATATAATCTATATATCTAATATATATATATATATAATATCTATATGGCGCTGGTCCCTTCAAACGTGACAGTTACACAGTATTGTTAACCCATGTTAACCAGTGGAGAAATAACCGGAAATGCCAAGCAAATAATAAATAATAAAAGAATACAATTCAATAACGTGCTTTAACCACCAGGTGTCCCTGTCTATCAGCT